GCCAAAGGAGGATGAGACAGCACCCACGAGTCCTTGCCAGGCCTGGGGTGACAGAGAAGCTTTCTGACACCAGAATAGGCCCCTGTACCCTCTGCAAAACGTGGCTTGGTTCCACCCGTCCACCAAGCAGGCATGATTTTTATGAGCTTGTGAAACAGACCGGGGTAGAGAGGCAAACCGGGAGTGCTCAGTGATACTGAAAGCAGCCTGGGATGGTGCCAGGGGTGGCGTGGGGTTGGGGGGGGCAGATTCCCTGCCTGAACGGACGGGGAAGTCAGTGGTGTCAAATCTGTGTCCTTCGTCCCTCGTATTCTCCTTTTTTTTTTTAAGATTTTATTTATTTGAGAGAGAGAGAGCACGTGCAAGCAATGGGGAAGGGCAGAGGGAGAGGGAGACTCCCCACTGAGCAGGGAACCTGATGGGGGCTCGATCCCAGGACTCCAGGATCATGACCTGAGCCGAAGGCAGACGCTTCACCGACTGAGCCGCCCAGACGCCCTGAATTTAACCGGCAACACAGTGACAGGAACTGTTTGATGTTCTGGACAGACTTTGAGAGGATGTCTTCCCTCCAGGCCATGTGATCACTTTATTAGTTAATACATATTTAATCCCAATACATTGATCTGCAGATCTATTAGGATAAAGTCTAAACAGTGGGATACTTAAAAATTTCTTCTCAAGGTGGGTGAAGTAGGTGATGGGGATTCAAGAGTACATGTATCGTGATGAAAAAAATAAAATAAAAATGTATTCTTTTTTCAAAAGATTTTTATGTATTTATTTGAGAGAGAAAGAGAAGGAGCAGAGGGAGAGGGAGACTCCCCACTGAGCAGGGACCCCCCGATACCGGGCTCAATCCTGGAACTCCAGGATCATGACTTGAGCCCAAGGCAGATGCTTAACCAACTGACCCATCCAGGCGCCCCTAAAAATGTATCCTTAATGTTAAGTCAAACATGGCCTTCCTGTTTGTCCGCTGGTTTTTCACGCTATTCTCTAAAGCAAAAGACAACAAAATGGTCCCTTCTTCTGTGGGATGGATGAGCGAGCTCTTACACTCTTGATGGTCATATAACCCATTTCCCTAAATCATCTCAGGTTGAACATCTGTTCCCTTCGGTTGCTCTTTAAAAGGCATATGTCTCAGACCCTAAAGTCTGCCTGCCCAGCATCTAGCAGGCACCCAACAAACGCCAGGTCCTCTTTCTAAGTGTAATCGATCTTGCTGTTCCAGCTTCTCCATGTCTCACCAGACCCAGCTGTAATACCCGGAATAGCACCTGTGTACCAAAGATTACCCTGGGACTGTCACCGCCCTTTCCAAGGAGTGCAGCTGAAGACTACTGCTGCCTGCTTGTTTGGCTCCGTTGTTTTGTTTCAATACTCTCAGCCAGATCGCCCTGAATTTAGAATGACCTTGACTCACCTGTAAACCGCCGGGTCTTTACCCCATGAACAGATGCCATGTCAGCTTTTCGGTAAGTTGCTCTTCTGCAGTTGGCGGTGTGAACCTATAAGCCCAACTGTGTGTGTATCAGTTCAGTTTCATATTACTGCTCATGCTGGGCAATTAAAACCCTGATTCTGTTTCTGCTGCATTAGACATTCCTTCCATTGTGCTCAACATCCTTTGCGTTCCTTCCTGGGAGATAGGTTCTTGCTACTTTTGTTGCTGTGGCTTTAGGAGGGCAACCGACATTGAAATGAGCTAGGTTTTGCCCAAGAAATGATCACCCAAGTTAGGAATGTCTATTTCTCCATGGACAGAGCCTCAGCCTGATGTACGTCCCGTGGAGCAGCATTTTTCTTTGTGTTACAGTCTTCTGGCCACTTCGCTTGTGTTTTGTTATGATGTTTTAATTCTTTTTTGGGCTTGCTTGTCTGGATTACATTATTATTACAGATTATTACTCTGTCTCAGGGCCCTTCATGTTCCCAGGAAAACTTCTGAGACAATGAGGTAGTTAGTCATTGTGCTCATCAGAGCTAAGGAACACATAAAGTCTCACCCAACCCCTCCTCCGCTTCATAATACACTCTGGAGAAGCAGCATCTTTGAGAACAATTCCACAGTAGACGTCCTCAGGGTCATGGCAAAGAGCCTCTAGTGTTCTGTTCTCATTCTTTCTCCAGATGGCCAGACAGACTCCGTGTGGCTTCGCACAGTTGCTCAATGCAGAATTTCCAGTTGTCGCCACGTTTACGTTTGCAGGAACCTGAGGACACCGTTGCCGTCGGTGACCATTATGTCATTGTTAATAGACTTCTGAATGTGTGGTGGGACCGTACCGGCGATGTGCATCCACAGGACCATGTTCTGCGGCCCCCAACCCATGGCGGACCCCGCGGCTTGTCCTAGACCAAGCACCTAGCTCTGGCAGATGTGCAGGCCAGATGTGGCGCCGGGCTCTCGGCTCTCCAGAGAGAGGGGCCCTGGAGGCCTGCGGGGTATGGGGAAGCCCCCAGTGGCCGAGGGGAGCTTCGCAAGAGGCTGACATCATCACCCCTATTCTTAAAAATAGGACGAGGTGCGAGCATTGCCCAAGTGTCAGTAGCAGCACAATGTTCTGGAACTTCCCCCGCTCTCTGGGACCTCTGCCCCATTCCTTCAAGAAAAAGAGAACAGTGCTTAACGTGGCCTTCGTGGCTCTGGAACCTCTTCCTCCCTTCTGTCTTCGTGTTGTTGGTGTCCCTGTCCCCCATCTCGCAGCTAGGGCAGCTCTGGCCACCTCGCCCTTCTTTTCCTTCTTACTCAACTAGGGAGTGACTGGAGGGGTCTCCTCACCTTCACTCTTACACTTCTCTTCCCTTTGGGGACATTTACTGCTTCTGCAACCACGTCTCTCTGCAGAATCTGTGGAATAGGAGATGTGGCCATAGGTCAGATTCTCTGACCGGCTTTCCGTGGAGGCACCATTGCACCCTCTGTGGATCCGATATGTGTCCAATCCTGCTTAACCAACTGAGCCGCCCAGGGGCCCCTATCTTTCATGATCTTAACCATTTTTTTTTTAAGAGTACAGGCAGTTTATTTAGTGGAATGTCCCTTAATCTGCATTATACAAGCTGGCTTCTGTATCCTTTGGAAAAGTCCTCACCATTTTTCAAACACTTTCTTACTTTTTTGGCATAAGAAAATGTTCCAGGGTCAGTCTTCCAGGATTCTCCCAGAAGCACGATTCTGCCCTGATTCCTGCAGAGAAACCTCCACTCCCAGAGTCGTGAAACCTCATGCCCACCGGCCTGGTCCCTATGGACTCCTCCAGCCTGAAGCTTAGACACCCCCACCTCCAGTTCCTGCTCCCACACTTCTCTCTTGTTAAGGCGACAAGGAGGCCATGGAGTGCCAGCTCAGCCCTTCCTGGCTGGGCCCTCTTGGGTTCCTGGCTGGGCTCTCTTGGGTTCCTGGCTTATGTCTCAGTTTCTTCATCTGCAAAATGGGGTTGGTAGTACTCTCTATCTCACAGGGCTGTTGTGAAGATAAAATGAGACAGCACTTAGCCCAGTGTCAGGTAGGAGGGAAATGCTTGCAAAGGAAGGTTGTCAGCCTTCACGGGTCTGCCCATAAAGCCTCTCCTGACTTCCCAGCTCCCACCTCCAAGGAAAGAGGCCTCTGGGCACTCTGCACCCTAGAGCAGAGTGAGGTGAGTCCAGGAGGATCTATTCCATGAGTCTGCCCCTTACTCAGTCTGGAAGTGGTACAGGGAGGTCCTGAGCCTGAGTGCAATTCTGGCTGACCCCCCCGCCCCGCAACACACACACACCTGTTTCCCTTGCCTTCCACTCCCCATTGCACTCCCTCTAAAAAATATATATACAGTGTGTGATCTACCAATCCATGTTTCAGGCTGTTAATATATTATTTTATTAATTTATTATTTTAAAAATACATAGCAATGCGTTGGGAGTGTTTTTAAATGTTTGCATAAATGGCGCCAGGCAATAAACCTCATTCTTCTTCTGCTCATCACACACAGGTGAGGCTCTCTGACCTTCCATGAACTGTCCCATTGTGGTTATTCATCCATTCCCTGGGGAGGTGGTAGTGGTGAGGAGAGTCACCTATGACCTCCCTCTTCCTCCTCTGCAACATCCTTGTGGACACCTCAGATGATTTGTGTGGGGTACTTAATTTCACCCGTTGCCTGCTTGACCTCCAGAACCACTGCCCCAGTTTTAAGGGTGTGGGCAGGTTTTCTTGGAGGTCTTTCCTGGCCATACGGGTGTCTAAGCCTCTCCAGGGGCTCAATGTCCCTAAAGGAACATAGGCACAGCGGTCCTGACCCACACAGCGTTGTGAGGGTGACTGCAAAGAGCACTTAGCACAGTGCCTGTGCCTGCTGTCCCGGCTGTCACCCCAACCCCCAGGACTGGCCAGTCGATGGTGCGTCTGCCCCAGAGGAGTAGCGATCAGAGCAGAAAAGGCTCTGTAGGTCCTCGCATCCAAGGGCCTCAGAGAATGCGGGCAAACTGCAGCCCAGAAAGAGTAAGGAGTTTGGGCCAAGTACATGGCTCGTGGCAGCTGACTCTGGCTGTCCTTGGTACCTGAACCAGCACAGCTGCAGAATGAAGTCCGGCTTGACCCCAAAAGGCCAGGTGTTGTGCCAGGTGTCTGCCACTTCCTGGCTAGCACTTTCCTTCACCGCCCCGCAGTTCCCCCATCTGTAAAATGAAGGCGGGAATAATGCTTCTGCTACCACCGATCAGGCGGAGAGCCGGTGCCGCTCCCCTGCGGCGGGTCACCCCGCAGTCGCGGCCGGTGACCCACCCCCCAGCAGGCGTGCGGGGGCGACGCCAGGGTACACCCCCCCCTTAGAGAGCTGGCACACCGCGGGGCGTCGCTGCCCGGGGACCTCATTGGCTGCGGTGGCGGGTGACGCAGCGCAGGGCGGGGCCGGGTTCCCGCCCGACCCTTTCGTCCTGGGCCGCCCGTCCAGCTCCCTCCTCCAGCGCCCACTGCCAGGGAGCCGCGCTCCATCCCGGCAGGCTCCACCGCCATGCGCAGCTACGAGGACGAGGGCAGCTGGAGCCTGTCCTTCTCAGGCGCCGGCTTCCTGGGGCTCTACCATGTGGGCGTGACCCGCTGCCTCAGCGAGCGCGCCCCGCACCTCCTCCAGGGCGCCCGCCGCTTCTACGGCTCCTCGTCAGGGGCGCTCAACGCCGTCTGCCTCATCGCGGGCAAGTCCGTCGGTGCGTGGGGGACGGCGCGGGCTGGGGGGCCTTGCGGGGGGACGCGGGCTCCACGCGGGAGGTAGGGCGCGGAGAGGGGCGTGCCGGCGCTCTGCCCTGTGCCCTTTACATCCAGCAGGATCCCATGGGACCCTCATAAGAACCCTGAGGAGTATGGTTACCCTCGTTTCGTTTCGCAGAGGACTGATCAGAGCTGGGGAGACTGTTCCCAAGATCAAACGGTGGACAGAGCATTTGAACGTAGGGCTGGGGACAGATATTCTGAGCTGGAGAGGGGAAGACGGTCCCCCCCCGGGGGAGGTCAAGTCTGTTGGACAGATGTGGGCAGGCCCCCTGGGTGACTGAGGACCCTCTCCTCTCCCCATGCGCACAGATTTCTGCTGCTCCCATCTCCTGGGCATGGTCAAGCAGGTGGAGCAGCTGAGCCTGGGCATCTTCCACCCTGCCTTCGCACCCATTGAGCACATCAGGCAGCAGCTGCAGGACAGCCTGCCCTCCAACATTCATATCCTGGCCTCCCAGAAGCTGGGCATCTCACTGACCCGGTGGCCCGATGGCCACAACGTCATAGTCACCAACTTCACAACCCGCGATGAAGTCATCCAGGTGAGCATGTGGTGGGACCCAGGGCCTAGAGGCAGGTGAGTGGGCTCCATCTCTACGGTGACTTCCGGGTGCTTCCCAGAGGCAGACACTCCTTTCAGGGAGTTGGGGGGGGGGTGTCACTTGAGGCTTGGGTTTGTTTACAAATGGGAGAGTCGCGGTACAGAGGGGCCAGAAGGTGATGACAGAGACTCCCGTCTTGCTTTGGGAAGACCCCTCGGCTGGACACAGAAGGGAATGGCTGGGGAGGGGGCAAAGTCCAGCTTCTGTACTCAGGGCCCCTGCTTTTCCAGAGAGGCGCCTGCCCACAATGGATTAGGAAACGATCCAGTATTGTTATAAAACAGGAGGTCGTGACAGAGAGCCACACGGTCAGGGAGGGAGGTCCGGAGCCCTGCTACCCATCCTTATCAGGGTCTGTGCCTTCCACTCAAGACTGGGGTCCGTGATGCAGAATCTGCTTCATCTTGCTGACCCCAGCACCCAGTGTGGGGACTATCGCTGGGTCTGTGATGATCGGGATTCTCAGTGTGTGCAGGAGAGGAGCCAGTCCCTTCATGCAAGCTGATGTCTGTGGGCTCTCGGGGAAGCCGGTTGGGGACCCTCAAGGTTATCCCAGCATCTTTGCCTGTATGGCACATAGCACAGGGCCTGGCACATAATAGGTGCTCAGTAGACATTAGCTGCTGTCACTGTTATCATTAATCTGTGGGAATGAGGCTCCCACTTGCATCTCCAACTGGTTAGAGCCAGGATGAGTTTCGCATCTCCCAGAGAGGGTTGGAGGGATATTTCCAAGTAGACTGCAAGTCAAGGTTCTATGCTCCATGAGTTTGGTAAGCCCTTGGTCAGTGGTTCTCAACCAGGGGTGATTTTTCCCCCTGGGGACATTTGGCAACATTGGAGGCATTTTTGGTTGTCACATTTCTGTGTGTGTGTGTGTGTGCGTGCATGTGTGCACAAAGTACTGATACCTAGTGGGTAGAGGCCAAAGATGCTGCTAAGTATCCCACCATGTACAGGACAGCTGCCTCCCACACCATCCCTCACTTCCAAGACAGAACTCTCGAGCCCCAAATGTTAATATGTTAAGCATCTTTTTCATTGCTGGACTTGTCAGAGACTCTATGGGGAAGAGTGGACAGTGTTTTCCAAATGGATAAAGAAATCAGGGTTTCCTTTTTTTTTTTTAAGATTTTATTTATTTTGTGAGAAAGAGAGAGCGCGCACGAGCAAGGAGGGGAGGGGCAGAGGGAGAAGCAGACTCCCCGCTGAGCAGGGAGCCCGATGCGGGACTCGATCCCAGGACCCTGGGATCACGACCTGAGCCGAAGGCAGACACTTCACCGGCTGAGCCACCCAGTCCTCCCGAAGTCAGGGTTTCTTGTTTGAGATGCATCTGGTTGGATCACTGTCCAGGGAACACACTTTGGGAGACATACCTAGATTGTTGGTGAAGAATTCCTGGGTGATGGAGAAATGGTCCTTGGTGCCTCCGTTTGCCCTTGGCGGGGGGGGGGGGGGGGACGACCCAGCAGCAGTCTCAAGTGAGCAAGGACCCATCAGCGGGAATTGGAGGGCGGCTGTCATAACAGGCCTATGTTCAAATACCTTCTTAACCTTGAGAATTTGGCTGGGACATGACCACTTCTCTGGGCCTCGTTTCCCTTCCCTGAACACAAGACTAATGCCAACAAACTTCACAGGCAGCTCTGGGGTTAGACACCATGCCCGGAGTAGGTTCTGGACACCAGGAGCGTGAATAATGGTGTTTCCGCTGACTTGTTTTCCCAGGCTCTGGTCTGCACCCTATACTTTCCTTTCTACTGTGGGACAATTCCCCCCGAATTCAGAGGGGAGGTAAGTGCACTTTGGGGGTTTGATGACTGAATCCCTGCCCCGTGCTCTGGGGACCCAGTGTACCTTCTGCTGAAAGGCGTGTGGGTGGAGGGAACTGTGCTCCCTGAGCTCCTACTGTGTGCCAGGGCCCTCCCTCTGCTCTTGGGGGGGTGGTGTTCAGAGCGTCCTGGGCTAGATGGTCCTAGGGGCTCAGGGGCAGCCAGAGGTCACCGGCTGCAGCCCACTTCCAGCCGGTGGCCCCATGGCAGTGCGGGGAGAGGATAGGGCATCCTGAGCAGGCAGCCCACCTGAATTGCAGCGCTATATTGACGGGGCTCTGAGCAACAACCTGCCCTTTGCGGACTCCTCCTCCACCATCACTGTGTCCCCTTTCCACGGGACAGTGGACATCTGCCCCCAGAGCACCTCGGCCAGCATGCATGAGCTGAATGCCTTCAATGCCAGTTTCCAGATCTCCAAGAAGAACGTTTTCCTGGGGTTCGTCTGCCTCATAGCCCCCAGCCCTGAGGTAGGTCTGGCCCTGGTGCCCACCTTGAAGGTGTTAGAGGCTTGGCCACGATCCAGGGTCCTGTGAGTCAGGCTATGTCCCCACACCTTCCCTCCACCTCAGGGCAGTTAGGACACATGTTCTGAATCATACAGCCACGTTCTTGAACCGACAACATGGGGCTCAAGTTGTGTCCTTACTATTCTTCCCCTGCCTGCATGAATGTTGAGTTAGGACTGGCCCCACATCAAGGCATGCTAGCACCAACTCCGCTGAGCTGGGGTGTGAGCCGGGCCTCTGCTGGTATTCCTCAGGGTCAGCCCCTGTGAGAAGGTGCCAGTACCATCTCTGTTTCTCGAGGGAGGACACCAAGGCTCAGAAAGGTTAAGCAACTTGTTCAAAGTCACACAGCCTGGAAGCAGCAAAGCCAGACTTCAAATCCTCAGCTAGCCTAGACCCATGCTCTCAACCACTGCCCTAGACTGTGGCCAAATTTACCATCCCCATGGAGGCGAGGCATAAGGACAGACAAAAAGGGACCATAGACCTAGATTTCTTGTTTTAGTCCCTTGGTATTTCTGGAAAACGAGTACTTTGACAACAAATAGTTTATCACCATAACCTGCTCCTCTACCCCAGCCGTGCCCTGGCCCCTCCCTATTCCTTCATTCGTTCCGTGGTTCTGTAGTGTTTTGTCTTTTTACTTTAAGTAAATTCTACGCCACACATGGGGCTCAAACTCATGACCCCAAGATCAAGAGTCCCCTGCTCTACCAACTGAACCAGCCAAGCACCTCAGTTCCGTAGTATTTTATAATCTATGAAACAAGATCATGTTCATTTCCTTTGGTCTTCCCTATACCTGTGTGGCGGACGGAAAATCTCCGCGCCATCTTAGAGACTAGGAAGCTGTCGCTCTCAAGGTGGCGTGGCCATCCTGAGGCCACACGGCAAGGGAAGGCAGAGCTGCCTTCTGGACCTGCAGGTGCCTTTTCCCCACTAGGGGAGCTCTGATTGAGACAGGCGGGTGTGGGCCCCCAATTTCCTCTGCTATCTCAGGCTGGTTCTGGAAATGAACATCAAAGGGCGAAGGCCACCACCATGCATTGACCCACGGGAACCAGGCCGTCCCCGGGCGTCCTGGGCCAGGCCTGCTTATCCTACTTTCCAGAGGAGAGAACTGAGACCGGAGAGCGGAGTGTCTGGAGCGAGAGTGGCCACCAAGGAGTCTTAGAGGGGGGAGCTCGTCCTGCCTGCAGTCCCGTGGCCCTCCCCGCCCCGCACTGGGGTCCTGGAGCCCTGCTGAGGGGGTTCTTAGGGAGCGCGGGCTGGGCGGGGATTGCTTCCTGTGGAAGACAGGTCTCTGGCCTGTGACCACAGCTCGAGGGGCAGGTCCAGGCCTTCCCCATCCTACTCTGACCTGTGTTTTGGCAGGTAGTAGCAGACAGCTGCAGACAAGGCTACCTGGACGCCCTCAAGTTTCTGGAGAGACGTGGTAGGTGGCAGCCCTCATAGTCGCCGCGCCTCCAAGTAGATGCTGCTTTCCGGGTGTCTGCGTGTGTAGGGACCTCAGCTCGCTCATTCTCTCCGTCAGCCTCTGCTCTATGCTTGGCCTCAGCTGGAGGCTGGAGACCCAGAGAGGATCACCCGTGCGTCCTGCTCTTGAGCTGCTCTTAGACTGGTGTGGGGAGACCTCTCCCCATGGAGATGGAGGGGATGCTCAGAGGGGGCACCTGACCCAGCCTGGCAGGTGGGCAAGGAGGCCTTCCTGGAGGCGGCAACAGATAAGCTGGGCTTTGACTAGTTATGAAGACTATGGAAAGGAAGGGGGCATTGCAAGCAGAGGGAAGATGGGTGAGAAGGAGCAGAGCCAAGCACCTTTGGGGCACATGACTCAGTGTGGCCTCAGGAGGGTGCGCGCGCGCGCGCGTGAGCTCCTCGGACGGTGGGCTGCAGAGGTCTTCTCAGCTGGAGAGTTTGGACGTCCTCCAGTGCTCTTCGCATGGTAGGGCTGAGATTTGAACCCAGGCCGTCTGGCTCCAGAACCATGTTGTTTACCCCAAACACAGAGCAGCAGGAAGAGTTTGCTGAGCGCTTAACACGTGCCCAGATCTGGGCTTGAGCTTTAGATGTTTGTCTTGGTTAATTCCCAGAACAACCACATGAAGCAGATTGTCGTTTTCTCCTTTCTCAAAGAGGGAAACCGAGGCACGGGGCAGTTAGATCACCTAGTGAACAGGTGTTGACCTCAGGGTTTGAACCTTGGACTGTATCTTCAGGGTCTGGGCTCTGATGCGCCGCTAGAAAGTGCACAGGAGATGGGGAGCAGAGAAGGGTCAGGGGAGAGCAGGAAGAGGTCATTCAGGGGGAGCCGTGGGTACATCCTGCAGCAAGCACGTCCCCAGAACTGGGTTTGGGGATCGAGGGGGATGGGTGGCATGGAGAGCCAGGGGGTGTCACCACCACCAGGGGGCTCCGGACGTGCTGACCAGTCATATCTCTCTCTCCACTGACCCAGGACTTACCAAGGAACCAATGCTTTGGATGCTGGTGTCGAAGGAGCCCCCAGCCCCAGCCGATGGGAACCAGGATGCCGGCCATGACAGAGGCCAGAAGGGGGGCCTGTCTCTCAACTGGGCGGTGCCCAATGTGCTGGTCAAGGATGTGCCTGACTTTGAGCGGCTCTCACCGGAGCTGGAGGCCGGTACTGCCTTTGCTTTCATGAACTTGCTCACCTACCCCATGCCCTGCACACAGGGGCCTGGGCGGGGAGCAGAGACCCTGCCCAGCTGGTGCTCAGGGGCCGGGAGAGGATAGGACTCCCTTTATTGAGCACCTACTGAGTGCCAAGTGTGGTGCTAGGGCCTTTCTACCTGCTGTGGCATTCACTCCGCACCACAACCGTGGGCCTACGTGTTTTCCTTACCCCATTTCACTGACGACGAAACTGAAGCTCAGAGAGGCAGCTGGGAGATTCAAACCCAAATCTATGCCTCAGAAAGCCAGGTCTTTGCCCACGGCCCAGGGAAGGGCAGGAAGTACATAGGGACGTGAGAGAGGCACACCCAGAAGGTTCTGGACTCTCCACGTGGACATGGACTCATTTCACTCTCCCACCAGTACTCTGAGGACGGCACTGGATTGTCCCCATTATAGGGATGAGGAAACCATAGCACAGAGAGGTTAAGTGACTTGTCCAAAGTCACACAGCTAACAAATAGCCCAAGCAGGAGTTCCGCTCTGAGCCATTTGGTCTGCTCTCCTGCTTAGTGACCCCGAAGTCACAACTGCAGTGGCAGAAGGGTCTGGGCGTGTGTCATGGTGACGGGGACGTGGGTTTGAACAGCATCGAAGTGAGACCAGAGAGGAGGAGTCGGCCAGGCAGAAGGTGCAGCGTGTGCAAATGTCCTGGGTTTGGTGGGGGCAGTGTCGTGGGTGAGGGGCAGGGTCGCAGAGGCTGGGAGGGTCAGGCAGGTGGCTTTGAAAGCAGCAGGAGAGGGATGGGGAGCCACCGGGGGGGGCGGCTCACTAGGCGCAACCCCTCCTTTTCAGGGTTCACTACTGCTCTGAAGGGTAGGTCCGGCGTTTACCGCACCTAGCTGGGAGGGGACCGGCTGGGCGGGGGGCGGGGGGAGACTGGGAGGAGAGCTGATGGTGGTTGAGGTTAGAGCAAGGACAGTGTGGGTGGGCGAAGGGGACAGGGAGGGCACCTCTTTCCGTGCCAGAGACCATACAGGGCCTGCAGAAATGGGCCTGGATCTGTGGCGAGCCCCTGAGGGCCAAGGCTGGAGCTCGGGAGCCGAGGCGGCGTCCCTACGGCCACATGGCAGCACCGGAGAGCCGTCTCCGTGATGGGGCACAACCGCCAGCATGCCCCGGGACTGGGAGTTAGTTAGCAGACCGGCCCTTACAGACCTCCCTTAATCCTGGCCCACCTGCCTGGGAGGCGGGGCCTGCCAGGAGCCCCACTTTTCAGAGGAGGGAATGTAGGCTCAGGGAAGGGGAGGGACTCAGCCTGGGACCCATGGCAGGGGAACGAGGAGCGGGTCTTCGTGCTGTGTCATCCGTGAACCCTCCAAGCGGCTGTCTCTCCACAGCACTAGCCAGAGTCAAGGTTGGAGGCCGAGCCACGGTCTGAAGACGAGGATTTGGGCTCCGGCTCTGCCCTGGCCAGGATGCCAGTCCTTGGTACCCTGGGCATTTCAGGGGATGGGGGGTGGGGGCTCGGAAAGGGGTTGTTGTCCTTCCCGCAGCTGCTGCTGTTCATAACCCTGATGTGTTGCTGTCATCAAGGGAGGTACGGGGGCGCACATGGCCCATCTTGGGGGGGGTGCGCAAGACTTTGCAGAGCAGCGGGAGACATGGAAAGAGCTCGGGGAACCTGAGTCCTTGGGTCCGTCTTGGGGACCCTGCCACTTCCTGGCCTGGTATTCAGGCAAGTCACTTCCCTACTCTGAACCTCAGTCTCCTCGTCTGTGAAAGGGGCACGCCCTGCCAGTTTGGGGACCATAAGGAGAGAGCACAAGCTGAGTGCCCAGAACTCTGCGGGCTCAAACTAGGGGCTCGGTCAATGCTGTCTCTTTCTCTGCAGCTAGGGGTGGGGGGTGGGCATAGTTTGTGGACTGTGTGAGGTGGGAAGGGGTTCAGCCACCTGCCCTAAGGGTAATGGTGAGGGCCTGGCTGGAGGGGTGGGCGGTCATGCCCCGGTTTCTCTCGTAGCACTGAAGAAAGCATGTGTGCGGGACCCCAGCACCTGGGCGCGCTTCTGCCGGTCGGGCCTTGGGCGGGCACTGACCTACTTGTTGCTGCCCTACACACTACCCTTCGAGTACGTTTACTTCCGGAGCAGAAGGTGAGGCTCAGCCGGGGGTCCTGGGAAGGGCCTGGCTTGCCATCAGGGCTGTGGTGGAGACCAGTGCCCAGGGCAGGAGGGGCAGCCGGCCCGCTGGGTGGGCAGAGCCTGGCTGGCCTCCCCGGGCTGCTTGGTGCTGGTTGCACAACCCAGAGGAGTCTCAGGGGGTCTCCTCTGCAGGATGGGACTGGTGGGGAGATGATGTAGCAGCTGTGACCGACGGATCGGAAATGGGGCCTCCTGGTCAATGCTCTGGCCCCTCGCCTGTCTCTAGGACCTTTGGCCCTTTGCTCTACCTGGTAGAGCCTCAGAGGAAATGTGCTGTTTCTGGAGAAATAACTCTGGGGGCTGGTCTGGTTCTGATTAGCTGTGTGGCCTGGGCTGGGTCTCTTGACCTCTCTGGGCCTCAGCTTCTTTTCTATAAAACAAGGCGCTTCCAGGGCTGACTGGTTGTGGTTAAGCCCTCACTAACCATTCTAACTTTGCTGATTAATGAGTCACTCGGCACTGTTTGTTCATTCACTCCACCAATAGTTATACTGAGGGCCTACCCAGGGGCCAAGCCTTGGCTGGGGATAGGGAGGCAGCCCTGACTCAGACCCAGGCCCTGGCCTTGTGGAACTCACAGCCCACGAACCATCACACATTCACCTGTGCAATCACACCTCTGCCTAGAGATACCCAGAGAGGTCTATACTGGCTGTGATTCCTAAAAGAGGTCTACACTGGCCGTGAACTGAGATAGCTCGCCCTAGGGGCTATCTGGTCAGGGAAGGCTGCCTAAAGAAGGTAACTTTTGAGTTATAATCTGAAGAATGGGTAGGAGTCCACTAGGCAAAGAGGAAGGGAAAAGCATTCCAGAGGGATGGAACGACATGTGCAAAGGTCCTGGGGCAGAAGGCAGAGGAAATAAGATGGTGAGGTGGTGTGGCAGTGGCTGGTGCGGGCTAGACAGGCAGGGCTCTATAGTCACATGAGGAGCATGGTCTTTATCCCAACAGTGGTGGGAAGGCAGCGAAGGGTTTCAGTAGAGAAGTGTCATAGGGAGAGTTCTATTTTTTTTAAATTTTTTATTCCCAAAAAGGTCTATGACAGTGAGCCACAGGTCTCTCTGTTTTGTTCCACGCTGAGTTAATGACTGGATCAGCCCGGCTGCTGTAATTGCCAGTGGCCCAAAGCCAGGAGAGAGCTTTCTGCTAACTCAGATTCTCCTCATGCTGAGCTGTTAGATTGAAACCGCAGATTGAAGTCAAAAAGGATAAGGGCAAAGCCTGAACTTTTCAGCTAAAAAAAAAAAAAAAAAAAAAAAAATCCGTATATGAGCACTGATGGAGAAACCTGTCCAGACCACAGGGAAATTCAGACTTAGCATTTTTTTTTTGTAACCTACATGCTCAACATGTAGGTTGTAATAATAGAGACAGACAGTCCAGAACAAGGGAGGTAATGGTCTAGCTTATGTTTTTGCTTCTCATACTCCACCCTGTGGCCTGTCTGCCTGGTTGAGGTCCTGGTTGAGAGGCTCTGCTGAAGGCAGCATATTGAGGGGAGGCCCTGCTGTGTCCAGTGAGTCTGAGATGGTGCTCAGCCAGGGCCTATCTCTGCTGTAATTGGATGACCTGGTCCTCTGCTGACCCCACAGGACCCAGGTGTGGAGCCACAGGAGGGTTTTGAGCAAGAAAGGGCTGTGATCGGATGTATATTTCAGGCATGTCACCGGCTGCTCAGGGGAGAGTGGATGGAGGGCTGTGGAGTAAGGGGGGCAGGTCTGGGGAAGGGAAGGAGGGACAGAGAGAGGGAGGAGGTTAGGAACTGCAGGCAAGGTGGTGGTCCTCTTTTGGCTGGCGAGGAAGCTGAAGCTCAGAGAGGTTCCCTGACCTGCCCAGGTCACACAGCTGATGAGCAGGGGAGCTGGGCCCAGAGCCCTGCCCTTCCCTGCTGTGGGCTTCACGCTTGTGCCCTGCGGAGTTACAACCAGCTCTGCGGTGGGCTCTTCTCACCTCTGTTCCACTTCCTTCAGGCCTGGTGCCTCAGGTCCTCCAGTGCAGGGACCCCTGGCTCTGCTCTGGGCCCGTGGAGAAGGTGGGCTTGGCCGGGCCACACACTCAGGCTTAGCTGAGTGAAGCATTTGCCGCCCCTTCCTCCAGGTTGGTGGCATGGCTGCCTGATCTGCCAGCTGACTTGTGGTGGATGTGGGGTGTGCTGCAGGGCTTGGCCCTCGAGATCTACTCCAGGTCAAAGGACCAGCTCCCCCGGCTGGTCAGGTGAGGCCGGGGGATGGGCCTGGGGCGGAGCGGGTGTGGCCTCCCCTCGGGAGCAAGGCACCACTGTTTTTCTAGACCCTGGACAGGCCGTCTACGCCATCCGTGTCCTTTTCTCCAGCCTCCCCATGCAGCCTCTGGCATAGCTTTGGTCACTGCTGTGGGCCAGACCGGTGCTGGGCCTGGATGCTGGAGCTGGCCTCTCACATGGGTCAGTCTGCAAGACCGGCTCCCAGAGGACAAGTGCATCTCCCTGCTCAGCCAGATCCCCATGGGCCCTTCCAACAGCCTTCCAGAGGTCCCTCCCTGTGCTCTGTGGGGCCTGGGCTGGGGCTGCCTATCTCTCCTCCACCTGGCTAGAGACCGTGGCGTCCTTCCAAGCCACTTGATGGCCAACCCTGGAACCTTCCTGCCCATCTCCGCGTGGCCAGTGTAAGGGTCTCAGGGCTTTCCTCCTGGCGGGATCCGGGAGAAGAGTGACCCAGGGCTTACCGAATGCGAGGGCTGCCCCCACAGGGCTTCACCCTGCCCTTTGCCCGTCCCCGGGCTCTAAAACCTTTCACTCACTGGCTTTTCCTTCCTCCGCAGCCTGCCCACTACCAGCCTGCTCCAGCCTGGGGCGTCTCTTCTTGTGGACCTGGCCAAGGAGCCCAGACCTCCCCATCAGGCCTGAGGGGCACAGAGCAGGGCCAGCCCAAACTGGCCTCCCCTGGTCCTTGTCTTAGCCCTCATCCTGTGCCCAGATCTGGCCCCAGTCCTCGAGTCCTGACTAGTCTTCCGGAGCTCAGAGCCCAGTGTGGAGCTGTCTGCTGAGCAGCCTCCCTTTCCCCGCAGACTCTTGTCCCTGACTGTGGGACCGTGTGGCCCCCAGGAGCCAGAAGAGGCCCCACCAGCCCCTCTGGAGCCCCTGTTCCTTGGAGCCAGCTCCTGGGGGCCCGACGATTTCTTTTTGGGAGAGGCCCAACCTGTTGGTATGTCCCTTGGTCGCTGTGTCCAGGTCACCCTGTCATCAGAGGGAAAAAGTAAGGTAGGAGCTGAGACATACATCTTGGTTCTTGAATTTCCATGTTGGGGGCTCGGGGGCAGCATCTGCCGAGAAGCAGGGTTCCAGTGCTTTTGCCGAGATGTTTGCAGAGCACTTTACAGAAGACAGAGAAAGTGTCAGTGATTGGAAGGCAAATGGAAATGATGGGTTGGGGTGTGCCTCCCCTCACATCCTTTCTCTGACTTACTTTGTCCTGCACTCGCTGCAGGGTGACCCTCATGGTCTGCCTCATTCCTGCAACCTTGATCTCTGACTTCCTACTGGGTACATCCAGCGGGGAGCCCCCAGCAGGAGATCGATGGTGGGAGGAGAGAAGGGGATCAAAATCTTCTCAGAATTCTGCCCACATGTGTCCCATTGGACTGTCCAAGGGCCCCTGGCTGCCAGCACCATAGCACTACCCCCTTATTCCTTAGTCGTACCTGCACACAGCCCATTCCCAGGCCCCTTTCTTTCTCAGGCAGAGAGGAGACCGGGACACCAGCCCCCCCCCCAGCCTCTCCTGGGAGCGGATCCCCTTCCTGTCCTCAGAGCAGAACCCACACTGTGTCTTGGCCAGGCCCTTAGGAGGCACTCAGCCCGAGCAGGGATGGGGAGGGTGGGGAACTGGAGGCACGCACAAGGGAAAAAGGGAGCAAAGGAATAAATCCGAACAAAAGAGATAATGAGTCATTCATTCGTTCGTTCGTTCATCCATTCATTCATTCGATTTTTGCTTAATGCCTTGTAGGCTCTGGGGTCACAACAGTGAACAAGGCTTACATTCTGGTGTGGGTTGCGGTGGGGGAGCAGATGCTAAACAGCCAACTGGGAACTGAAAATAAGATCATCTGAGGAGCAGCAGTGCCGTGAGGAGAGCAAAAGACGGTGGACACGATGGCGGTCGGGTGGGGTGGGAGCGACCCTGGATCAGTGGTCCAGGAAGGCCCCCTTCTGGAAGATGATGTCGGGGGTGAGGCCTCAGGTGAGAGGCAAAGAGCTGGGGGAAGAGTTTTGCAAGCAGAGGGAATAGCAGGTGCAAAGGCCCTGAGATAGGAATGCAGTCGATGTATTTAAGAAACAAGGTAGCCAGTGTGGCCGGAGCCTTGTGAGCGATGGGGCAGGTGGAGGGCAGGCAGAGGCTGGGTCACAGAGGCCACTGTTACAGTGATCAGGACGTTGGATTTGGGCAGTCATTTGAGGGTTGGGAGCAGGGAAGCAAAAAGGTGAGTGCAGAGTGGGTGAGTGGAGCATAGGAGGGCTGGGGTGGGGGTGGGAGGTTGAAAGGGAGAGAAGAGGCAGAGAGAGGGAGGACTTGCAGGAGGGTCCACCTCCCTGCTCATCTCTAGGATCTAGGGTCCACTGGGGCTGAGCTCACTTCTGTCCCCTCTTGCTGTCATGAAGGGGGCTGTTCTACCTTGAGTCAGGTGATGTCCAAGCCCCAAGGATTCTCTCCACCCAGAGCTGGGATGCCCTGTCCCGTTGCCAGGTGATGGGTTTGGGATTTCCTCTGCCTGTGGAAAGGGGAGGACTGGTCACCTGGGTCTCCAGGTTGAGGATCTAGATGCTCAGGAGGCCTCTGAGAATATTCTTGTTCCCCTGTCCTTTGTCCCCTATCAAGGACATGGACCTCTATTTCCAGGGGCAAACAGACCTCCCTTTATCACCTCCCCTCTCATTGGTTCTTTGGGACTTGCCCTAGGGCCATCTTTGCCCCCATTGCTTTATTTTGTGTCTTAGATGGAGAAGGATATTTGGCCACTGCCACCTTCCTCTTCATCATTCTCCTTCTCTGAAGCAGCATGTCACTAAATGTTTCTAGCTTACTTGGTTGAATATCTCAGTTGCATTCAAACCCAGGTCAGGCCGTGGTTCCATTCTGTCTGAACGCTAGAATGCTGGTTGGAAATACTGAGGAGTCTTCTGCAGGGATTCTGATGTAATTGATTTTGATCTAGACATCTGTCTGGGCAGGAGTGTGGTTGGAGCCTGTAGTTCCTGGGCACTGGTGTCCTCAGGGGCCACTATGTGAGTGTGACTACCTGCCGGAGCCAGCAGTCTGTGCCTCAGGCTCGCTTAATGTCATCTGTGCCAAGCAGGCTGGTATGTGCTAAACTGAGGCTGGGATCACGTGATGCTAGTGGGGTGATCTCTGCCCCAGCACTAAGTTCTGGCTACACTGGGCATCTCCAGGAAGATAGCTCAACCCCTCTGAACTTTGAATGCCACCCTTAAATCCAGTCTTGTAAACTAACCAAGTATTTAGTGATGTTAAGGAACATTCATTCCTTTTTAGCTGTGTTAATATATTGGGAACATGTGTTTCGAAGAGTTTTTACCTTTTAGAGATCTGTAGTGAAATATTTGTGAATGAAATAATACGTGAGATTGGCTTCAAAATAATCTGGGTGGGGAGGGGTGACTGAGAGCTGATGAAACGTGGATTGATAACAGCTGACACTGAGTGATGAGTTCACAGAAGTTCACTTAACCCTTTTCTCTAGTTTTGTGTATGTTTGAGATTTCCATAATAAACAAGTACTTAACCTTAAAAATTGGATAGCACATGCAAATGGAAAACATACATCAAAACAGAACAGAAAACAAGCAAAATCAGGGCCATGGAGAGTCGTGGCTATCCTAATCCCGGAACCCAGATCCCAGATCCCAGATCCCAGATCCCAGATCAGGAGGGCAGCAGGATCTGGTGAACCGTGCGCATTCAGCACCTCGGACAGCAACCTCCTCCCTCCGCCTCAGCAGCCTTAGCCATCTGGGGCAGAGAACTTCTGCATCCACCTTTGTTAGGAGGGGTCTGTTCAGGACGAAAGGCTATCCAGCCTCTTCCACACCTCCAGAGATGGGGCCTTCACTACCCATGGGGTAGACCAGGCCTTGGTGGACAGTTTGGGCTCCCAAGAAATTTCTGTTTGCTGCTCCTTAAGGATACTTTTGTCAAAAATCAATTGATCATCTCTGTGTGTGTCTGTTTCTGGGCTTTCTAACCTGTTCCATTTATCTATATGTCTGTCCTTATGCCAATCCCATCCTGTTTTGATTTATAGCCTTAAGATAAATAGCTTTGTAGTAAGTCCTGAAATCAGGCGGTATGAGCCTTCCAACTTCGCTATTCATTTTCAAAATTGTTTTGAGTATTCTTGGTTCTTTGTTTTCCCATATAGACTTTAGAACAAGAGATCCCATTGGAATTTTGCCTGGGACTGTACAGACTCTAGAGATGAATCTGAGGAGAATGCGCGTCTTAACAACGTCGAGACTCCCAATCCATGAACAGGGTATATGTCTCCATTTCTTTAGGTTCTCTTTAATTTCTCTCATCAGTGTTTTGTAGCTTCTGTTATGCAAATTTTGCACATATTTTCTTAGCTGTATTCCTAAGTCATTTAATATTTTCTGATGTTATTGCAAATGATATTTTTAAAATTTCAATTTGTAATTGTTTGTTGGTAGTATGTAGAAATGGCATTGATTTTTGCTTTCTGACCTCGTATCCTGTGATCGCGATAAACTCGTTAATTCTAGTAGCTTTTTAGGTAGAATCCTCAGGGTTATCTATTTTAAAGGTTTTTCTTCAGAGTTTTATTCTTAAAAAACCTGAACCTATAGAAAAGTTTCAAATAATACAACTGAAGTAGGTAGAATAACACACTCCTCTCCCCACTGTGTCTGCACCCTAATCCTCAGAACCTATGAATATGTTATGCTACACGTTAGAGGGAATTAAGGTTGCAGATGGAATTACAGTTGCTGGTTGGCTGACCTTAATATAGATTATCCTGGATTGTTGGGTAGGTCTAATGTAGTTACACGAGTCCTTAAAAGTGGAAGAAGGATGAAAAAGAAGAGTCGATGTCAGGGTACTATAATGTGAGCAAGACTGGACCTACCATTGCTGGCTTTAAAAATGGAGAAAGGGGCCACAAGCCAAGGAGTGCGGCGGCCTCTAGAGGCTAGAAAAGGCAAGACAATGAATCCATCCCTAGAGTCTCCAGAAAGAAGCGCAGCTTTGGGGACTCCTTGATTTTAGCATATGACACCCTTATTAGATGTCTGGCCTATAGAACTCTAAGATAATAAACTTTTGTCTTAAGTCACTGAGGTTGTAGTAACCCTTTACAGCAGTAATAGAAAACTAACGAAATAATGAACATATACCATCACCAACATACACACACACAATATGCATGTGCACTTTTTTTATTCCTATGTAGTAAGTATCTTCATTGTATATCACAATTTATCCAGTCTATCACTGATGGAAATTTGAGCTGGTTCCTATTTTTTAAAAGATTTTGTCAGAGAGAGAGAGAGAGAGAACAAGCAGGGGGAGCGGTTGGCAGAGGGTCTGTCTGTGCAGTGAGACCGATGTGGGGCTCGATCCCAGGACCCTGGGATCATGACCCGAGCCAAACGCAGACACTTAACCAACTGAGCCACCCAGGTGTCCGGAGCTGTTTCCTATTTTTGTCTAATATGTACAAAGTTTTCCTAATTTGGCCTTTCAGCTAGCCTCTGTCCTTTTGACTTATCCCATCATTTTTTTTTAAGATTTTATTTATTTGCAAGAGAGAGAATGAGGGCCAGAGAGCACGAGAGGGAGGAGGGTCAGAGAGAGAAGCAGACTCCCC